ATGAAATAATTATATGTTATAGTGCAAAGACAGATAATGATGACAGAGTCATTCTCTCCGATTTTTAAAATGGTTGTGTACTTTTCTGAGTATACATATCAGGGTGTGACTTAAGCCTTGATCCTGTCTCCATAGATATTGATGGAATTTTTGCCAATAATTTTGGTATCAGTGGGAATGGCTACAAATATATATGTATTTTTCCCATATAATGTACCACTTGAAATGTTTTCATTATTATAGTTCTTTTTTTGTATGTGTGTTAGTTGAATTCTGACATTTATAGCCAGATGTTGAATCAGTGTTTATGAAATTAATTGTTACTTAGGCAAGGCAGACAGATGGAACTGAGGCAGCATGACTATTTCTGCATATGAATAAAAATGTTGCTTATTGTGTTGCAAAAACTGTTTTTATGTTGTTTTTCCTGTATTTCTCTGCCTGTGGCAAGTTCTAACTTCATTTTGCCAACAAGTCTGTGATCTAACTCTGTAAGCCTCAGGTAGAAAAATATCTTTTATGCCCTTCCTTCTATTGTGAAAACATGTAAATTAAACAAAAATATGTCGCTTATGCCAAGGAGACAGGTTCAGAGAGAAACTCCTCACAATGTGTGACATCTGCAGATATAGGATGGATTTGTACAGAACCTTAATACCATGCTACCATAGGTTACTCACTGCTCTCCTCCCATGTCCTTTTTCTTCTTTTCTTAAAAGAAACTGAGTTATCTCCACAAAGAGAAAACTGTTTAAGGTCCATGAAAAATGCTATTCATTTTTTCCTCTGAAAGAGATTCAGGTATTTCCAGGGGACTCAGGTTTTCCTTGAGATAGTCAAAAATGACTATCAAAAATAAGTAAAATATGCAACAAAATTTAGCTGAATCGAAACACTGCACTTATTAACCTGCACTGAATTCAGTTTGCATAAGTAATGGAGATTCAGACTAGAGGGAAAGAAATAAGAAAAATCCTTCAAAGAATCTGTAATGCTTCTTTGACAGAAATTTTGCACTGCTGCCATTATCTGAAATATTTATTACTGAAGATGATATTTCAGCATGATGTGTCTCAGCTACTGTGTTTCAAAATAAATTTATGTCCTACTTTACTTAGAGCTGTCATCCTCAAAGGATTGAAATCAAAACTAGGAGAAGAGCATTTTTCTATGCAACAGGTAGCTCTCCAATGAGTATTGATGTAATATTTCTGTTAATTAACCTCATGTAAGATCTACTTTGGGATTAATGTAGTGTAACTACATTATTAGTTCCTCAACCTTCCTTACTTTGGTGGTGACTTATGTAATATATTGCAGTCCTTAAAGATTTCTGAGCCAGATTTCCTTTGGTGAAAACACGATTTAATATACCAGGCATTTCCCATCTAATTGTTCTGTAATAAGGTAATGTAAACAACCTACCACTGGACTAGAAAATAAGCTGTTGATTTTTGTTTTGTTTTTACTGAGTCGGATTTATGGTACAATTTATTTCACAGCAAATCATCAGATACCATTTTCGTATGTTTCATCTTGGTAGCAATTAATATTCTGCAGTAAAACTTTCCTATCTGAAAAGCTTATACTCAGTATTTGAAATAGTTAGACTATTAAGTATGGAGTTCTGAATTTTGGTCTATTCATTCTATCTAATATCTAATATTCCATTTTTTGTGGCTTTTTCTTTCTTTTTTTTTCTGTAGTGCATTCATCCTTTAATGGTTTAGATCTGCTTACAAGTTAGAAAACTCTATATAGTAAAAAGCAAGGGCTTTATTTTTAATACTATGTAATCTTTAGTTTTCTTGTCACAGACCAAGTCAGAATTAATTTTTCTGTTTGGTGAGTTTTAATTCTCTGTGGTTGTTCTGGCTTTTTAAAAATAATTTGCTACAGAATTGAAACACTATTTCTTGCATAACTTCTCCAAATATATATATATATATATATATATATGTGTGTGTGTGTGTGTGTGTGTGTGTGTTTTTGTTTTTGTTTTTTTTTTTTTCTGTTTTAAACTCTCTATACAGTATAAGAAAATAAAACCATAATACTGGTAACTTGCTGTGTCATGATCTCCTGCAAGAGTAACAAGTGATTTTCAGCCTCCCTGTCTATCTTCTTAAAAATTGAAAGTACAAATGCTGTTGAGCAGCATGGTACTTGAGCTCTGCAATGCCTACAGAGTTCACAAGAAAATCTTCTGTTTTTCCTTCTAATAGGAGTAGTTCTTCCAAGTCTACTCTTCAATGTAACTGTGTGAATAATCCCAGAAAAATTAAAATGGAATGCTTCAGAGAAAGCATGAAGATGCTGTGATTAGGAAGACAATATAAAAACAGAATCAGATAGATAGAGGAAGTACAAAAAGACTCAATGTGATTAAAGAACGTCAGTTCTTTGGGATGTGATATATGCCAGTGAACGTGCCAATGGCATAATTCACACATATGGTATGCAGTGGACTATTTTTTTCACATTCATATACTGAAAATGAAATTCACATATTTATTTCAGAATATGATTTGAAATTTTACTGGCAATTACTTCAATGATCATTGAAAACTGAAACATCCATTGTGGCCAGGACTATGGGCTCCTCTAAGAGTTTAATTTGTTTAACATGCTTATAACTTTTCTCCTGTTTATAAAATATGTCCACATCATGTCATCGCTGATACCAAGTGGTTCTAGTTTTTGAGGGCATATTATGCCATCAGATTTAGTTGGGTTAATTTCATAAATGTATTTGTAAGAATCATTGTATCCAGACACATAGTGCTGTTCAGGGGATTATAAAGTAGACACTAATTCTTTAAATACTGCATATATAAGTAATTTTATTCATTTAGATAGGCCCCAGGAGTCACTCAAGTGTTTATAGAATTGGATCCTTAGGTTTTATGTAGTTAACACGTTCGTGTTTTATTAAGCGTAGACTCATATCCATACTTTGATGTTGTTTAAATTTTAAAAGCATTTACAGTAACACTAATTTTTAGTATGCCCTAAGGTTTATTTTCAACGAAATTATCCAGCCTTGGAAAATAATCATGGCTGAAAAGCAAGCCAAACACAACTACTGCTTGGTTGAGGTTTTAAATTCCATCTTACCATAGCTGAAAGTTATATGTCATAATCCTTCTCTTCTCCAAATTTGATTCTTATTCTCATGGTGGTATTTTGTTTTTTTTTCACAAAATGGTTATACTTTATGGTTTGATATTTTTAAATCTCTTTAAAATGATTACGTTTTTTTTGTTTTTGTTGCTGGAAAGCAAACAATTCTACTGTTTTGTTTACAATAAAATGGTTATTATTTTTTCAGTGGCAACTTCATGCAAAGTGCTCATAATAAACTGTGAAATGTGGAAGTTACTGTTTTTCCAAATTTCATTAAATCCCTTTAGCTGCACATGTAATGAGACCTGTGTCTGCTGCAGAAACAAAATAAATAGAAATTCTAGTAAATCTGGAGTCAAAAGAATGTAAGAGTGCTGACAAATAATTCTCCTTTCATCAAATATAGAAAAGTAAACGTAAAGCAACTGTTGAAATACTAATTTATATTGAAAAAAAGTAAGTAATTTCCTTAAAAAACTGAGAAAGAGACTACTGGCTGAAGTTCTGTTTCCTCTTGTAAGATAACACAGCATCCGCTTTTCTGGGTAATACGAATATTGTTGTGCTGCGACTAATGTCCATCCAGTTTATGTCCATTCCCTGATATGAATCTGACATCTGGGGAGCTGAGAGCTGGCAAACAGCAAGCGGTCAATTTCTGTGGAGACAGCAAAAGGAACCTTTTTTGCAAAAACGGGGTAATGGTCCAAGACCTCTTTATGGATCTAAGTTTCCATGTGCATATTCAGTGTTGGTATTAGTAATTTACATTACTATGGTAATGTGCAGTACTGCATTCCCGTAGAGGATCTTGGAATTCAATATCCTTTTTCTGCATTTTGTTTCTGGATTTGTTGCTATGCGTTGTCAGCAACACTTTTCTTAGAGCTGTACAATATTATTTTGGGCAACATTCTCTGCCTCTTTTTCTGCTTCTGATGGCATTTACCGGCAGTGTTCTAGTGACATGTTCAGGTTCTGTGAAATATTGCTGCCAAGGCTTGAGTCTTGATTTTTGAAAGCACGGTACTTACTGAAGAACATGTTAGGAAACTTGGATGGTTGGACTTGACAATCTTAAAGGTCTTTTCCTACCTAAATGGTTCTGTGATTCTGCGAAACCACTTGAGGAGTAGAGGAAGGGATTGTATTGTCTCTCAAGTTACAGGAAAACTGTAAGACCAAAATTTGAACACATTTGCTTCCCCAAACACTCTTTTGTTATAATGTAACATGCATTTCCATACACCTCTTCCTGAGTATCTACAAACATACTTAATTCACTTTCAGATCCTTAGTAGGTAACTTGGAACTTTTCCTTGATCATCATAAGCACCTGTCATTTTAGGTTGAACTGTCTGAACATAGCACCAGTAATTCACTATAGCTGCATCCAGGAGTATAGACAAAGGATGGTTAGTACTGCTCTCCAGTAAGGGAGAACTGGCAAGTCATGAACTGTTTGCATATGGCTTAAACATGCAGCAGATGCCCATTGCCATGTCGGAGCCAGGTTTGTGTCTCCTGTGCTCACAGTCTGAACACAAAATAGCAATCCCTCATCAAGCTCCTTAATTATTGCCTATGACTTCTATAACACTGACATCAAATTCCTCCAGAAGCCTGAATTTCTCATTCCCAACAATGTTTGCATACAGATGAGAAAAAAAAAAAAAAAAAAAAAAAAAAAGGTACTATTAGCACTCAGAAAAACAGCTAAGTTTGAAACCACTGGAATTGAAACTAAACTATTTGAAAATTGGACTCCGAGTAAAGCAGGTAAAGCAAAAAAAATAAAAATAAAAATGTATGGCTTTTTAAAAATGCATTGCTTCATCAAATTTTGTTTCTGTATTTTTTTCCCTTTCCTTTAGCAATGGTTGTTCTCAGCAATTTGGAACCAAATACGACATATGAAATCAAGGTAGCTGCTGTAAATGGAAAAGGGCAAGGAGAATATAGCAAAATTGAGATATTTCAGACCTTACCTGTCCGTGAGTAATACTTGTGCTATTAAATAAAAATGTAAATTCTTACTTGAGTATGTTGCTAATAATTTCAAGTATGATTCACTGTGGATAATATGGTTTACATTTATACACTGTGAAGCAGCATATAACATCAGTCTTCTCTATGTTGTTTCTCTGAAATTTTGTTTCTCTTATCCTCTCCAACAAATAATATGAATTAAGCTTAAATTGGATGGACTTAAATTATTTGTATTTTTGAGACATAGACAAATCTTCATGTTATATTCAAGAGCACAGAACATGAAATATACTAGATGAAGGACTTTTTCTCATTTATACACAGAGTATTACACACATCTGGGAGAAATTAATTAGCCCTTTCTGGAGACATTCTCCCAGCAGATCATGCTACTACAAGTTTTGCAACTATCAAGTCTAAAACAAAAACCTTAAGCTATAGAAAAATAAGAATGCATTGTTTTAACTATGATATGAAAGTGGCAAATGATGCAAAGCCAATTCAATATTTATAACCTTTAGAGACAAGAAATTCAGATTTAACGATTAAAGATTTTAATGAAAATTATTTCCCCAAATTATTTTTAAACAGAAAATAATAATTAATAAATGAAACACAGATGAAGAATTAAAAATAAAGGACCTACAGATAGCACTGCTCAGGTAGATACACGAAAATACATCAGCAACAGATCAGTAGATCTGTCTATCATAAAATGTTGTAATTGAACTGGTTTCAGAGTAAGATGTTACTGAGTATAACTAAGAATACTGCCCCTAATGGAATGAACAATAATAGTCATGCAACTAGAAATAACACAAAATATTTCTATGTTGTTCTATGTCAATATTCATATTGGCAAGTTTCTTCTGTCCAAAACCTGTAACTTGTCAGCTTTCAAATTTATTTTTGTTTAAAGAATATGTATATTCTAAATATACTATATGACAGAATAATTTGCTATTATTCATATAGCATATTTGCTATTATTCATATACTTGGTAGAAAAGCAATAGAAATTGATAGAACTGATACATATATTACCTGACAGAAAGCTAGAAAAATCTGTGATGATATTTAAATATATTTTTTTCCCCTTTACAAGAGATAAACACAAATATAACAAATATTATAAATATTTCTAAGGTAACAAGATATCTCTGGGTGAATGGAAACCTACAAATATTTTGATTAGAATGCAACTACGAGGTGTTAATTTAGGACCTGATTTGAAATTTTACAATAGGCATCATATATAGAAATTATAATTGGTCTGTGAAATGTCATTAGCAAAGTGATTAAAGCTGGCAATTAACCCATCAATTGTATGTTTAAAATTATTTTTCTCCTTCCATTACAGAGAAATTTTTTCTTTTTTTCAAAATATTATTCTTTACAATCATTCTTTATATAGACTACTTTAAAAACATCTAATTTTGTCTTGACACAGTTACTGGAAAGTCAACTTATCTAATACTTATTACAGTTCAGATCTGGAATATAGGACTAAAGCTCATGCTTAATGCTAAGAATGCTTTTCTGTGTTACTCATAAATTTCAGTGTGAGTAGCAGCTTACCAGCCTTGCTGAATTGATGGCTAAATCATTTCTGAAGTAAATTACATTTGAAAGTGTAAAAAGTCAGAAAGTCTCAAAGAATCTGATCCCTTTTTCATACTTGATATCATTTTGTTTCCTTGTGTGAGATTATTAACCTAGTTTAGAACACACTTTAAGCAAAACATTTAACACACATTCAAGATACTCTACAGAGCATGGAAGAGTCATGCTGATTATAAAGATTTTGATTATAGACAAGCTCCCACTGGTAATTTGAGGTTGTCACTGCTAAATTATTTTTATCCACCTTTTTTTTTTCTTCATTATTTAGGGGAGCCAAGCCCCCCATCAATTCACGGACAACCAGGAAGTGGCAAGAGTTTTAAACTTAGCATAACTAAACAAGATGATGGAGGCGCCCCCATTTTGGAATATATTGTGAAATACAGAAGTGTAAGTATTTCAATGAATCAAACTAGGCAAGTTTTGCTTAGTAATACCTGCTTTTAATGTAGAGATGGTTGCTGATACTATTTGAAACGTAACAAAACAGTTTGCATACTACAAAAAGAAAAGGAAAAAAATAATCTCAGGTATAGTGTAGTGTGTTTTCTTTTCAGACTAGGTTATATTATAGAGACTAGTTTATATTATATAGACATATTATAAAAAAGAAAGAAAAAAAAAAAGGATAAAAGAATGAAAGAATGAATGAAAAACACCCTGCTCCTCCTAAAGGTGTAACTGAAGGTTCATTCTAATAAGAAAACTTCCGTGTTTTCTGTTTTGTTACATGGTAAATGAGGAACTTCCATGTTCAGCTCTCAAAAATGATGTCAATTAGCAGACATTAAAGTTACATAATTAAAGGCTGTTTGAAAAGCAAGTTAATCATCTGTAATAACTATGCATTTACAGATAGCATCCTAGAGGTAGGATGCTGTTTTCAGTGTTCCATATTCATTTTAACTTTAAATTAATCTTAAAGGAGATTAATTAATCTTTCTAGATTCCAAAGTTCATTTTAAAATATCAAAAGCCCAGTAATTTATTAATTGCTAGGACATTCAAAAGTTTCAGTTTATATACCAGTTCTTTAACACTCCCCTTGCATAGTTTATTAGTCTCTCAGCTGGTGTCTGATTTGTCATTCTCTTGTCAAATCTGGCAAGTTTAGAATACAGTATTTCTTGCAAGGTCTGTTTTATTTTTCAGTGAATGATGTCTTCTTTGTATTTTTCTATTTAAAAGTGTTATATTTTAATTAAAATTATATTTTAATAAAAGCACCTGAAATATCTTTCCGGATATACTATATTTATAAATATTTGCACTGCAGAAGTAAGTCTACAACTGGCAAAATCAATGAAATGAATTCAAAAGTATGCATTTTCTAATAGCTTCCTTGCATTTTTTTAGAAAGATTACACCTCTTTTATCTGACCAGACCCAGGAAGAAAGTATTTTACCAGAGTATAAAGTAGGAGATTTATACGCCCACTTCAAGAGTCTGAAAGAGATTGGATATATAACACCAAATATTTAAACAAATTAAACAGAAGGTAGCAAAGACTATACTTTGTAGAAATTAGCACATAAACTATATGCAGAATTTTAGTATTAAAAAAAAAAAAAAGCTCCTTATTTTGTAATAATTTTTGTCACATTTCCTTATGTTTCCTAAAATGCCACATTTTGATGTTAGCTCTGGGATTATCCAAGTGCTTAGCCTGGCATGTAAAATGGTTTTCCTAAATTATTTGCTAAATAAATTTAGCATCAAAGTATGGATATCATGTATATATGCAAGGTGAGGAATTTAATCTGTTTCTATCATTTAAGTAAGTTAAATGATTTTGGATCTATCCTGAATAACTTTGGAAACATGACTTTGATCAAGTGTTTTGACTAAGGAACAATATTACAGAATAGAATGTCATTTTTCTTGTTTATTGTTGAAAGATAAATGTACAATTTAAGCAGTAACTGGAAACATAATAGGTTACAGGAGATAGCTTTTACTTGGAGCTGAAATCCATATCTCCCTAAGCTTCCAATTGAAAAAGCAATTTGACTAAATTAAAGGTCTTCTTACAACAAAAAAGCACAGTAATTTTTTGGTGTTTTAATCAGAATGAATGGATGCTATTTAAAGTTCTTAATTATCTGTTGACTGCTTCCTTTCTATCTTCCTCATTGGTCGTATTTAATTGACTTTTCTGTAGCTCTTGCCAGCCTCATTACTAGCACCTGGACCAGTGTATTTGCTTCCATGTTTTAACAGCATATTAGATAACAAGCTACATATCAATGGCTTTTCTTCTTTGTGTTTCATAACAGCTCGTGTCTTACTGAGTTGGTTCTTTCATGCTTAAGTTTTATAAAGATCTTTTAAAATTAGGAGTAGGATAGCATTTAAGATATTTTACAAAATATTATAGTCTAGTCTAGGAATACTGGTAAGTTTTCTTTTTTCTTTTTTTGCTAACTTTTGCTTTCCTAACATGTTTCCTGCTTCGTGTTATGGGCAGGGCTTACTTTCTGTAATCAAATACCAAGAAGTCTCCCTTTTTGTGTTGTATTTCAGGTAAGTAAGTATCATGCAGTTTTCATGAATAGCAGTCTCAATTTGATTCGTGGTGCTGTACAAAGTTGAGTTTTACAAAGCTTTACTAATGGAGCCCAAAGCTGATGTCGTACCTTGTCTTCAAAGTTATCTTAGGAGTGAATAGGAAGAGAGGGAGAAAGAAGCTGGCTGGGAAGAGGAGTGTCCCCAGCCACACACCCTGTCCAGTGCAGAAGCAGGTGCTCCCCCAGCCACAGTTCTCATAGTAACTGTGTAGTTCTAATAGGGACCCACTTGGGCTCTCCTTTGGTCATTCTTTGTTTTGGCACTGATAATGTTGGTTGGGGCACACATGATCAGGTGCTGGTGTCGCACAATGGAAATTGAGCTTTATACATGTAAATTGCTAGGGAACTGTGTACTGGATTTGTAAACAGCTATTATCTGCTGTGTGATCTTCCAAGTATGAGGGAAGTAAACTAAAAGCTAGTGGGAATGGCTGAAGAGATTATAGCATGGAGTTACATAAGGCAAAGAGTGAGGAATTGAAGAACAGAACATCTGGGATACAGGGAAGAAACTGCCACAGCAGCTCAGGAGAAGTGTGTAACAGGCACAGACCTGATTGGGAAAGGGAGGCTACAAAGCAACAAATGGAAGGTGTCACACAGCTTAAGGCACTAGAAACAGCATGCAAACAGTGCGTGATCATCATATGGGAATAATCACTTATATGACTCACACGTCGCAAGCAAAAGTACCTGATTATTGCTCAAATGTCTTTTGACAGTGGATATTCTGTAGCTGCACATGTTGCATTTCTGAATTTGTGCTTGGTGTTTTATGTTGTCTGCATATGGTATTATGTTGCAAAGATTGGTTCCAAGACTTCAATTATGAATTTGGTACCATATCCTGAATTGAATTTCGTAATGCTTAAAAGGCGAGTTTTGAAATAGGCTTCTTAGTGATTGTAAAAGGGAATTCTTTTCTATATGTTTGGGTCACAGAAAGCCAAAAGTAAGATGGGGAAAAGAGGACGTTGCGGTTACTTATAATGCCAAATTTTGGTAAAAAGTTAGAATTAGAATGAAATAACAACAACAAAAAAATCCATCTTTTATGGTTATATACTTTTAAGTAGAGGCAAGAAAATTACATAAAATCTTATTTTGAAAAACAGTAACAGCATAAAATTTCTTTTAATCTCATTTTGCATCTATAATGAAATCTGGAGGAAATAAAACCAGTGAGATTAGCTTTTGCAGGCCTAGAAGCTGCTACCCATGTTGACCTGTGAGAGTGTTACTGTTAATGCTCTGAATTTTGGTACTGACAGTTGTTAGATTTCCGATCATGTGCTTCAGTTGTATTTGTTTATGTTGATGGATGACTGTGTTCATTTTGTTGCCTGATAATAAGTTCTAGAAAAAGACTTGTAGAATATGAATAATTTAAATGGAGAGAATATCTCAGTCACTCCCACTCTGAGATACCTGCCATAAACCATTTTTTTTAAATCTCAGAGTTCCACTTTACATGCCAGACCCTTGGACTTTCTGTGCGTTTTAACACTAGATACATTAGCAGCCATTTTGTGTTTTCTTTGGCATTCATCTTGTATTGCCTCTTCTAAAACACCACCCAGACCTATAAAATACCATTCTAATGTGATGAATTCTTGTGAAGTCACAGCTTTAAACAGTCAAACAGTCAGATTGTTTTCCCTGAGTATTTCTTTTTTTCTTTTTTTTTTTTTTTTCCTCTATTGGCTTTAGAGATAGTGTGGCACCTCCTGCTTTGCTTGTTTGAGCTGAATTTTCAGTGTGACAGTTCAGGGAAGTTGGAGAGGAAAGGTTGGAAGGAGTTAATTGCTTTTTACAAGTTCCCAGAGAATGTAATCTTAGGCATAATATAAAATGGCCATTAAATATAGAGATGTTATTTTCTAGACTAGTAAATAGTTATGTGGCCAAACAGCGGATTGGCTTTACTTTCACTGTTATTAGATGTGACCTTGATTTTGAGAAGCAGTCAAGTAGACTGGAATGTTACGATGTTTGTTTACTCCTTTTTTGTCAAGGTATTTAGGTGTGTAGGTTACTCATAGTTTTCTTACAAATCTAGCTCCTAAGTACTTCTGAGAAAAACTTCATCGATGCTTATATTTAAAGACAGTATTTAAGATATTGTAGATATTTAAGAAATAATCATAATTTTAGTTTATCCACTTTAGTCTGTGGCATTGTGGCAGGTTTGCTTCAACTGAGGAGTGATCCTGGGAAAAGTGCAGTGTGAATTTAAGGCTGTGATGTAAATTTAAGGCTTAAGAGTAGTGGAAGTGGTCAGTGAGAATCCCCCAAATGAATTGACACTCATTTGTCAGTGTCACAGCATCAATGACCTTCTGTAAAAGAGTATTTGAGCTTTATAGAAAACAAACCAAAATGCAAATGAAGGAACAGTTGAATCTCTGAGGTTGCAGATCTGATTGAAGTTTCTGAAAATGTGGATTTGTTGATACATATTAATGATACAACTACTAATACTAAATGATGATTGAAGGCATTTACATTAACTCACCCCTCAAATTAGACTGCAGTTCATGATTTCAGAGTTCCTTTCATTTGGTGTAAAACACTGTGCATTTGTAGAGCTTCCTATAAATTTTAAGCAATATTAATAATAGAACAGCCTAATAAAGTTGAAGTGTTCTTTTATAGTTCTATTTTTTGCTCTTTAATCTACCAATTAAAGGATAAACAGGGAGATTTGTAGGAAGATTTAACTGACAGACTTTTGTTTTCTCATTCTTTACGCATTTCTACTCTAATGGTAAAATAAATCTCAACACATTACTGAGCTCTACTTAGTAAAAATTACTTGAAAATGCATGTGAAATAACTGCTAGAGTTGATGACATTCCAGTTGTTCTTTATCTTTAAGATGCCAAAGGTAGACTGGATTTTAGAAGTTCATTGTTAGAAGACAACTTGTTTTCCAGATACTTTCTTTATTCTTCTTCTCCCATATAGTGCTTGTCACTCTTCATAAAACACTTTGATGTCTTTGAGCTCAGTGCTTGGACTCTGCCTGTTTCAATTATCTCAGTCCACCCAGTAGGCTTCACTTTCAACTAATCTTAAGGTGTCACTTCCCTGGCATAGCATGCAGGTATCCTGTTACATTTCAGCTCTTTCATTATTCTTCACCTGACCAAACCATAGAACAACTGCTTTGTCACTTAATTTTATGTCTGTAGAGGAGCATCCTCATACAGAAACCTGTACAGTTTTCTTTCCAAACCTCATTCTGTTCACTACATGTAGTTCTACCATTTGTTTTCAAAATATATATATCTGTTTGCAATGCAGTCTTTTCCACCTGCAGAAATCATGTTAGCCTGAATATTTATTTTCCAATTTTAGTGTGTTTTTTCTCCTTCCGTGATTTATATTTTCTTCAGAATTCCTTAGTACATTCACACAGCTATACGTGCATGCACCAAAATCATGAACTCCCAAAGAATATAAATATGAGAAAATTAGAAGGGAATATCAATATGAGGAGGAGTTAGAAAAATTCAAAATTCAAACAGCCACTGAAATACAGCACTACGTAACAGTGCTGCTCCTGACATTACTAATAAGTATTTACATGTACATACTGAGATTAATTCTTTTCATACTGTATTAATTCTTTTTAAATCATTGGTGTTACACAAAAATACAATAAAAATACAATTTGAAAAATTAGTTTGGTGTGAAAGTATAAATGGATTCACTCAGTGGAATGTAAATATAAGTGGTTCACTTAGTGGCATGTCAGATAATTGCAAGAGAAGTTATCTGTGAGGTCTAACACTAACTTTATTTAGAAAAAAGTTTTTTTGTTTGTTTTTTATAGAAAATATCAGTTTCACTATATGATGGGTAAACTATTTTTACTGTAGGGTATTTAGTTTTTTTACATGACTTGTTAACTACCGTTCTGTTTTTTTTATTTTTTTTTTGGTGGGTCCACTTCTGTATCCACTTGCACCTTGCTACTTATGTTCCTGAAAAGATGTTTTAGTATAACCATTCTCAGGACTACCAAGTGTCAATGAAGGTGTAGAAGGAGCAGGAAGGCTTTAACATAAGGCAAAGTCAATATGGAGGAGTCAACACACAGTGCTGGTAGAAAATAAGTTATTGCAGCAGTGTACCTAAGGGATCTCAGTATGTCAGTCTATTTTCTGGAGATTGGGGACAAAAAGAACAGGCATAAGTAGCATGACTGAGCCCTGAACTGTTAAATTTAGATGCTATTTTCTTTGACACTTGTATCAGTCAAGAGCAAGATGCTTCAGCAAAGATCCTAAATATAAGCTACTGAGATTGTCTGTAGCAAAAAGCTATACTCTCTACTTGAAAGGTGTTTTTCTTCAGACAGCTATTGACTGTGTTGCTGTATGGGCTGGATGGCCAAGATTTGGCTCTCAGCCATAGTTTTTGGCACTGAATTTTGTAAAAACAGAACTGCATGGATTCTTACCGTTACTGAACTCCTATGAGCATGATGGCTGGAGTGCTTCCCAGTATGTATTATTTTTTTTTCTTATTAATTATTTTCTAATTCTCATTTGCATAAGGAATAATTAAAATATATTATGCTCTAAAAATACTAAAAGAAGAGATTGCAAAGGTAAGCAGTCCAAATCTATGAAATGCCAGAGGTCAGGTTGCTTCCTAAGTCCTCATTTGTTTCCTTTGCGGAAACAGAGTTCTGAATTATCAGAACTCTTTTTTCTCTATGGTTCTATCTCACTGATTTAAATGTATCCTTTTACCAGCATAAACATAGGACTGCATACTCTTTTAATGCTGTTTATATTAAAACATACAGCCTGGTTTGCAATATGTTACTGTAGTACAACATACTGCTACAGTTTATGTACTCGGTATATAACTAGTTGTATGATATAAGCACAGCTTGCATTCATGAGCTATTCAGGCTTAGTTTCAATGGGAAATTTCTTTTAAAGAACGTTGAGCAAAATGTAATTGCAACATCTGTATAAAATAAACTTTTACAAAATTTATTCTTAGCAGAAATTGTAAATAATTATCCTGCTGTTCCCCACACTGAAAAGTGTATTTGTGCAAAATACAAATACAGCCCAAATTGGTTGAAAAATAATTGTCAACAACATCCATAAATTCATATTATGGAATGATTAGGAACAGACAAAATTAAAAAAAAGCCTGAGTACTCAGAACTCCAAAAATAGATGACTGGGATGTTCATAGTCTTCGGAAATAAAACTATTTTAAAATTTTTTTTTTGTAGACATATGTTTTAGACAAATAATGCAAGAATTTTTGAGAATTTAAACTATTTGCATCTTTACAGAAAGATAAGGAAGATCAGTGGCTAGAGAAAAAAGTACAGGGTAGTAAAGACCACATCATCTTAGAGCATCTTCAGTGGACCATGGGTTATGAAGTACAAATTACAGCTGCCAACAGACTGGGTTTTTCTGAACCAACATTGTACGAATTCAGCATGCCACCGAAGCCCAACATTATTACAGGTAAGTTGATCTTAGAGTGTTTTCTCTCTGAATTGCTTGCTACTGATAGTACTTTAATGTGGGTAGTTGAACAGTCTCTTAAGGTAACTGAAGTATTCCTTAACTCACAAAGCTTCAGACAACATGCTGTGTTATCAGCAAAGATTTTACTAAAAACCCTTTAATGGCACCCTCCTTTCCTACTTTGATCTTACTAATGTAAGATCAAATTTGATCTAATGTAAGATCAAATTTACTAATTTATTAATGTAAGATTTACTAATGTAAAATCAAATTTACAAACTACTAATTTGTAAGCACAGAACAAATGCTGAATCTTCAACAGAGACAATGACAGTTGTCATTGTAATACAATATTTAAGATGCATTTTTAATACATTGCCTTTTACTGCGTATTTGTCTGTTGTAAGGCAATCTGTTAGAATTCTAGATTTCAGTACAAGTCAAATATCGCTACATGTGCTTCAAGGTACACATAAAATAAGGGTATTTATTTTAATGTCTGACTAAGTTAAGACTTCAAATAGACTTATTTAGATACTGTCTTATTGATTCACTATAACACAGTGACGATGCAACCACCTCACAGGCCTATTCGCAAGCTTTGAACTATGTAGAAATGTTGTTTATGTTTTTAAGTGTGTAAATAAGAAGGTTTGTTTTTTTTTAAAAGGAAAACTTCATAGGAGTTAAGAGTGGAGTGTGTTTCAGCAACTAATTTATCAAGTTTTAGTGCTTCCTAAAGCAAAGTTATATTTTGGTGCAACAATGTAAAATTATTTAATTCAGAATAAACATAAATCGTGATGGTAATTTCTGATATCTTATAAATAATTTAGTTTTTTATAAAGCCAATTATATGGTGAAGAGATCTTATCTGACTGATGAATTGATTGCCATAGAGAGAGTTGATTTGCATCTTGATTGAGATTTGGAGCCTCTATAAGCCCTGCGTACTTTTAAACAGATAGTGATTTGTGATTGCCATCATTCAGAATTAAGGTTTCACTCCATGGTCAACAGGAAAAAGGAATGGAAATGTAGGGACAATGATTATCTCAATAAAATGATAATATTTATCAAGTAGAAAAATAAATTAAAACTTACTTAGGTAAAGACTTACAGAAAGTATAAACCATTTTTTTAGTTTTTTGAATGTCCAAAGCCTACTGGTTTTGCAACACAGCTTAACTTTAACCTTTTAAAACTACTCAAATTATTCCATATTATTACCACAGATGATATAACAGAGAAACATGATATGCCTGCATAAATGAAAACATAAATGGTCCCTAGACGTTGAAGTAAAAAGTAGCTTAGTTAATATAGTCGTAGAAGAGAGAATTTATTTCTCTGAACATAGCTTTATGGGAATTATGGGGCTTTTTCCTTTTGGTACTCTCCCAAACCTCTAACTAGTTGTAAGGAGAAGTCTGTTACACTACTTAACATCAAGTCTTCTCTATATGAATCATTATTGTAATTATGATTGTGGAACTAATTAGTTTCCTTGACAACTGTTTTTGCAAAGCCTATAAAGGGTGTGAAATTCCCATCATAAGAACATTCTGTAGGCAATTTTTAAAAGTATGTCAAAAGAGACTTAAAATCAGTGGAACATTAATGTTCACATTCATGAGTCAGTATGGTTATCTTGTTATGAAATTGCATATTATTAATATGTCATTATTACAAAAGTATATATATAATTTTAAAAACATGATAACGTGTATAAAATGCTCAACTTTAAGCAGGTCAGTTCTTACTGATCAGTCTGCTCAGCTGATGCTCTATCTATATGCTTTGAGGCTTGGGTATTTGCAGCTAGGTATTTACAGCTAAGTCAAAGAAGGAAGAATGCAATTAGGTACAATTCTGAATGAAATGCATCACCTATTCTGTGCCCTCTTAGCTGTTTGTGATCACTGAGATTCCTTTCCTAATTATTCATGTGATGACTAGAAGAGTTTCTAAGACTCATAAAGGTTTTCGTTTGTTTATGCCCAGGTCTATGTCACTTTAGCTGAACTGAGTGTTTCTGTCTTGCTCTTAATGTCATTCAAAACTAAGATATCTGTAGGTCCTATGTACCTAATCTCATGGGTATTACCTACCTCCAAAGAATTTGGGGATCTTCCGAGTATCATGATGGTTAGCTATACTTAACATAATAATACATTGCAAATGTGTGCAAGCATAACCAGAGAGTTGGAGAGAGACAAAGGCAAGGATGCATTTGTTGTCCTTCAAGGGGTTCTTTACCAGGGAAATGGGAGTAATCACAAGAAATGAGACTTTGGTTCTGATTCCTGCAGAAGGAGTCTATTTATTCTTCCAAGAGCTAATGGATATGTCAGAAGAGTAATCCCTGAGGGCAGGGACTGGAAGCTAAAACTCTGCTTCTGTGAACACACAGCTCCTGTGGGCACAGAACCCGCATCTTCTATTTATTAGGAAGTGCAAGTGAGTACCTGCTCCTGGCTAGCAGTCAAATTTTATTATAAAACAACATGATAATCTTCCATTACCATTCTTAGGTCTAGCAAGATGCCTCAGCCTGCCAATCAGCATCAGTTAGGTGTATAAATGAGATAGACATTTCTTTTAATTTTCACATGGTTGGCCTCAGCAGCCTCCAACTAGATGTACTTGGTTTTGTAATTTCTGTTCCTAAGCCTTTAACACAGTCTTCATTCACTGAATCATTCACATCTGTGATTAGTTCCTCAGAATTTGTAATCATTTTAATAAGAGTTTCCCAGTTTTCTGAAGGGTTTACCAATGGAATATTGCACTATGTTTGAGAAATACTCAGCAGATCGAGTTGTTAAAACATTTTTCCTTGACTGTACTTACAAATCCATTTATTTTATGTATTACTGTATATTTTATCTATGTATATATAATTTTACTTTCTACTTTTTTTGAGTTATTGTTTGCAGTCAGCAATTCTGTCTTCCATTTGACTATTCACTTAGGAGTATAAGCATGTATTTAAGAATCATGCTTTGAAGAAAGAGCAGCATAGTCTTAAATGTAATATTTTACATATTCCAGTATCTCACTGGATATGTTAGTTACCAGTACTTGTGGGTAGGCACAAATCTAATACCAGTGTGCTTGCCTGTGAGTAAGTCTTCATCATTTTTTAAGTACTGATTTGTGATATTTTAGAAAATTTCATTTTAGCTTTTCTGTAGTATTGAGTTTCTTCTAATTTTGTGGGTAATAAAGGTATTCTCAAAGGAGCTATGTGCCTTAGCTCTTAGCTGTTTATCAGTCTTAGGACAGCATAGACTAACCTCTGCAGCCACAACAAACTCTCTGACTAAGTGTCACAAGGAACAAATGAACTCTATCAGCTCACAGGGGTGACACTACAGCCTGTTTGTATGGGTCTACATGTATTTAATCTCTCAGCAGTGCAGAGAGATATATCCTCTCTTCTGGTACTGTGCAGCTGATACAAAAATGTCCAAATCATAGCTACCATTCTGAAATATTACTGTTGCAACCTAAAACCACATCTATAGTCCTATCTTAAACAAAGATGCAATGAAAGATGTTAAAAGAGGATATTTTGACAAATCTCTGCTGTTAATTTCTGAAACCTTATGCAGGTGTAGTCTTTCAAAAGTCTTTTATCCAGTCATTGCTGTTTCTCTGGAAGTCCAGTATACAGTATATATTGAAAATGGCTGCAAGTTGTTTTTTATCATATTTTTAATTCTTCATTATAAAGCATTTGGGGACAGCAAGAAGTCCTTAAAACCGTTTCTTTCACTATGCTGTATTTTTATTTTTGTGTGTGTGTGTTTATATTGTTGTTTTTGCTGTTTATTTGTGTTTTTTTTTTTTTTTTAGTGGTGTTTTTTTTGTGCATTGTTTTTTTTGTGTGTATTTTCATTTTGGTTTGGGGATTTTTGTGTTATTTTGTTTTATTTTTAATATTGCATGACTTACTGAAATATTTCTTATTAAGTAACCTAGAAAAGTTTGAATCCCTTTTTTATACCCATGACCTTTTCTGTTACAGTAATGAGCATATTGTTTGCTTTTTTCAGTGCATTTCTGTCACTGATGCTTAAAACCATACAGTCATAGGTGAGGAGCAACAGTCTAATACATAGTATTTTCTCTCACTATGACTTGTAGCAAAGATGACACTCCATGCCAAACATGGTTTTTATCAGTAGTTTTTATAAAAACACAGCTTTAGGATTAAGTGGTGTCATATTGAATGAAAAATGAAAATAGTTTACACCGGTACTATACATGCTTTTATATATACATACATATATATATATATACATACATATATATATATATATATATATATATACACACACATATATATATATACACATATATATATATATATATATATATGTATGTATTTATATATACATACATATATATATGTATGTCTTATAAGGTATTACATATGTAAAATTGGGCTCCTGTACTCTACAGACAGCTTTTTATTAGAATATAAGCTAGGATAATGAACATTTTACTCGAGAGACTGAGAATTACTAGATACAGGAAAAAGCCAGTCTTCTCCTTATGTTCAGATGTTGCCTCCTGTGTCATTTCACATTGTCCTTCACTGAGGAGAGCCTTGATCCATCTTCTTTACACCCTCCCTTCAGGTGTCTGTACACACTGAGACCCTGAGCCTTCTGTTCTCCAGGCGGAACAGTCCCAACTCCCTCAGCTTTTCCTCACAGGAGAGATGCTCCAGTCCCTTAATCCTCTTAAAGGCTCTTTTGATGGACTCTCTACAGTAACTCCATACCTCTCTTGTGGAGAGCTGAGAACTGGACCTAGCATTCCAGGTATAGCCTTAGCACCAGTGCTGAGTAGAAGGAAAGGATCACCTCTTTTAACCTGCTGTCAACACTCCTAACGCAACCCAGGACACCATTAGCCTGCTTTGTTGAAAGAGCACACTGCTGATGCATGCTCACCTTGATGTCCAGCAGGACCCCCAAGTCCTT